TTAGTATTGATTTCTCTAAGAAATTTAAATCCCACAGGGCATAAACATCAATTTAATCTGTATGCAACTACAAAATGGCCTCACTCCCAGTGCTCCTTATTTCAGCCAAAACACTGCTACAACTGGAGTAAACACACACTCAGCAGTGCAGGCAAAGGCTGACAGAACAAGAATCCCCATGCTCCCAATAATTCACAGGAGTTTTGGAGAGCACAGTCACAAATGCCAGACAGTCAAGGACAACCACCAACAGGAAAATCTGTCTCACAGCCAGACACAAAGGCATCCCTGAAGCATCCCAAGGACCAGTGACACCCTGCCTTGCTAAGAAGGAGAGGCACTGCATGCCCCAATCCAATATTTTGTTGTGGAGTAACAGCCTCAGGTCTCACCTTTGGGTTTCTGTGCCTCCACATGAGAAGAGGAACAATGAAACACAACTGCTCCATGTTGTACTAAGTGATGGTTTGGAACAAGGGAAGTGGTGGAGTCGCTGTCCCTGGAAGTGTTAAAAAAACATGTAGGCATGTCATTTCATGAGATGTCTTAGTGGGCATGGTGGTGTTGGGTCAAATGTTGGATATGATGATCTTGGAGGAATTCTCCAACCTTAATGATTCCTTGATTCTATTTTCTGAGCATCCCTGACTCCATCAGACTGCCTTCCCTGCACACATTACTGCTACCTCCAGCCTGCTGAGAAGAGCATCAGAAGAAAACATCACCTGAAGAAAAAGAAAATTCATCACCTTGGGGTTTACCCTCATGTAATCTTAAACTGAGCTGAGTTCTTCAGAAATGTAAGTCCCCACTCTAATCCCTGAGAAATCAAGCCCAGCATGCTCTGACATTCCTCTTTTTCTTCTTAGCACTTCAGGACTGCTATTTTTTTCCAAGAATGCACCCCATTGAAAAAAAATCAGCTGATTCTCAGAGCAGTGCAAAGCCCCAGGCATGTCAGTGTCACCCCAGCCAGCACTTAAGCACCAATACAGTCTCTAGTATTCAAGGCACCAACATTATTTGTGAGTGATGGATTTATGTAAGAAACTATAAATTATATATATATATAAATATTTATATATTATATTTATATATATTATATAAATATATTTTTATATATAAATATTCACACACACAAGGTTTTATGGACAAAGCCTGCACTCATAAAATGTGGCACCTTCTACCCACCTGCCCCTGCTGAGCACAGTTAGGTGGCAGAATCAGGTTCCTGAAGGTATAAAGGTGACAGAACAGCACCTTGGGCAATTGGAGTATTATGGAGTCACTGACAGGCACAAAAACAAGCCACAAAGCTCTGTCCAAAGTTAACAGCTTCAACACAGACTCCACCCCAGATAATCAGCCTTCCTACATGGCAGGATTTATTAATTGCTGCTGCAGTCCCACAAAAGCTGACTTAACACAACTCTAGCACACACCTGATCCAACATGTGTTGACCCAGAGCTCAGATTGCCATTGTCATGAAGGTTCCTACACTCTAGAGCAAAATATAATTTAAATATTTATTGACTACATGTGTGATCAGCACAGAGCCTTTACCTGTGTGCTGCTTTCCTTCAGCATATGTTACATACATCATGGCATATTTACTTCACCCATCAGTAAGGTGGAGAATGGATTTTGCCCCCTAAATTATTCAGTTTTGTGGGTTTTCCCCAGGACAGCCTGACTAGGTCCAAGCAAGAACCATGGCAACATTCTCCAGCCAGTGTCAGTTTTAGGAAGAAGTTTAGGATTGCTTGGTCAGGAACAGAAGCAACTCTGAAGTGATCATCAAGATTATTGAAGTATATACTGGCAGATCAGTCTGTACCACTGACAGCTTTATAGCTGCTGTGACCACCAGTGTCACTGAGCTGCAGACACTGTCATTTCTCCACAAAGTTACCATGGTTTTGACTTCAGAGAGTCCCCTAACCATGCAGCAAGAATGGCTGTCTGTAAGTCCAGCCTCTGAACTGCAGTTGAGAGCTTGGCTTTCCAAGGGGGATGGCTGCAAGCAGTAAAAGGAAGTGAAAAAATAGAAGGCATTTATGATACCATCAAAATTCAGGAAAATAAAGGCAGAACAGCAAACCCTCACCTTATCTTCATGAATCTCTGAATGGGAGGATGTAAACAACAGGGACAGACCAAACTTCACTTGTTTGTTTCTAGATTCAACACTCAGTCCACCCCTTAAGCACATAAGCAAAACAGGATACAGGGTGTTACTGAATGATTTCCTCTGAAACCTGATTGAGAAAGATTAGAGCAATTAGAACAGAGTGACACACACTTTGAAAGCCCTTAAATCACAATTAATATAAGGTTTAACCTTTCTCCTAAGGATCATCTGGTGACTGTGTGCCATTTTCAGAACAAGGCTGACACGTCCCATCCTCGGAGACAAAATCCATGAGACAGAATCCCCTGCCCTCTACTGGCACCAAAGCCACACTGAAATCTGAGCTCATGTCACAGGCAGCACAAACAGCACATGAGGAGCTGCTTTAAGGGGCATTTTAAACTATTATTTGTCATTTATATCAGATTTATAATGTGCTGGACACATCCAGCTGGAAATAAAAGCTCACATATAAAAAGCTCTTTCAGCATCATTGCATTCCTTCCCACAGCACAAGCTAGATTGAGGATTCAAAATACTGCTCCTTCCAAGATAATATATTCATTAACTGGGAACTAATTCTAAGGGATTATCTAATTTTTGTCATGTTCACAGTGCATAACCAAGAACTCTATATGGCAGTTTTTATTTGTTTGTTTTTACAGAATTCTCTCTCACGTACGCTGTTGCTTTTCTGATTACAACCATCCAAACTGCATTTGGCCCAAGAACAGAGAGGCAGGTTCAGAGCTGCCAAAATCATTTTCCAGCACCTTGGTGCCAGAGCTAGGGAAATTCTTAGCCAGGTTTCTGACTCATATGCACCACTGTGACAGCACCACACAAACCTCAGGGCACCCCACCAAGGCATTTGTTGTGACTGACCGTGCCACAGCCATTTCTCTCATGCATTGATTTAATGGGTGTCATCATAGAACCTTCCAGAGCTTGTGAGCACTTCTTACTGTATTCTCCTATCAGTGCAAACAACAGCAATAACAAAAAAAAAAAAAAGCCAAGATTTACCCTGCTGTGATTATATTTCTGAATATAAATCAGCTTGATTCCTGGAAATATCAAAGTAAATCCCCCATGTAGGCAAGGCCTAAAAGGAATTGAATAAACACAAGGGTCCTGACTGCATATTTAATCCAAAAAATAAATAAGCTTTTAAATCACATTAAAAGGAAAGAAAAAAAAAAAAAGGCAGCCTGAAAACCAGCAGCTATTAAACAAGACAAAGTCTGGCAATGCTGGAGTAATTCCCACAATGCTCATCCTTACCCTGAAACACATTGAGAACACACCCTGTTTTCAGAGCTGTCACACAACAAATGCAGATGTGAGCCTGCCATCACTACACAAACAACAAAGTATGACATTTAAATAATACCACTGAGGAGAAGTGGGAGATGCACACAGCCTACACTATGTACAGCAGTTCTTTCCTAAAGCAACTCATCTGTTAAGTTACCAAATAGCTAAAAGGCCCTAGGGATGCAACAAAAAAGTATCTAACATTCCAAAGAATCCATAGGAATATAATCCAATCACACCTGTCTCTTTTTCACTGTAGGCATCTACAGCATTTTAAAAAATACTAATGACATATTCTCAAAGCTTATTAAGCCACATCCTAAAACTATTTGGATTTTTGGCTGTCCTACTCAGCCTAAATGTATTTGCAGATAATTTATCCCCATTTATTCCTGTGTCAGGGTTGTCTGATATCCCAAATAGTTCTTCTCACACTCTGGTGTTTGTCTAACCCCTGACATTTACAGACTGCAAAAGTATCCTCAGCCATGGGCTTTCTGGGCTATATAAACCAAGATTTTGGTGCAGCAGAATCTAAGAATGAAGGATAAACAGGCACTTTAAACACAGTCTATTTGAAACTCTGCCTGTCTCCATAAATAATCCCCACAAATAAATACAGTTTCAACTATATAAGAAAATATATAACACAAAAACCTTTACAACGTAAATTTATGAGGTGGTGTTGTCAAGCCTTGTGATTTGTTCCAGGATCTCTGCATTTTTTCAACTTTCAGCTCCTGGAGTTCTCTTTTAAAAATAAACAGCAAAAATATTCTGTCCTTCATGATTATTGATAAAAGCCTGGGGGTAGGAATGGCTTGTGAAGAAGGAGATCAGGATGTAAATAAAAATACTATGATTTTTTGAAATAAAATATTTATTAAATATCCTCTAGATGAGTTAATTCAGCATGTTAAAGATACCACTGGTTGACACACTGTCAGAAAACATCAATAAAAATCTTACAGGTTTGCCTCTATTATTTTTGTATAATTCTACACCTAGTAATGATCTGAACCCACTTCCTAGGTAAAATACTGGCTGACTTTGCTGTTCCAATGTGCTAAAAACCATTCATACCCTAAATTCTAGGAAGCTAGAGCTCTGGCTTTCTAAATCACAAGACAGGGAAAGGGCTTCTGCCTTATTAACAGAAAACTGAGGTAAAGAGGTGTGTGACCAGCTAATGGCAGATCCAAGAACTGAACATAGATTTCAGATTTTCTGAGTTACAGTCTTGTGCTTCAGGCAGAAGGCTGGTGGTCTTTTCACTTAACAAGCTATCAAAGGCCAAACTCTTATTTAAAAATAGACACTGCAGCTCAGAAACAATGAAACAGCAAGAATACTTGAAAAAGAAATCTTCTTAAAGCTAAGCCTCCTTGGTCCTTAAAAAACTTGCACCCAACACACCATCAATATTTTTTCCAAGAGACCAAATTCAGAGTTCATCCCAGTTTCTGTATCCATCAGGCAGGACAGGGATGACAGCAGTGACATTACTGCCTTTGGCCCCCAGTGCCATTAGTTAGTTCTCATCATACTTACAGACTTTGTATCCCAGCTTTTCAGCATGAATCCTCTTGGCCATGAACTGCCCTTCAATCAGTGCTCGTATTTCTACCTCCTTTGGAAACCTTGGAACCTGTACCAAAGAGGGAATGAATTAACAACTCCTTACCCAGCACACACTGCCAAGCTGCAGAGTGGTTAAAAACAGGTTTATGGTTGATTCTCTTTGCCTTCACCCTGAAGTCTGCTCTCATCTAGGCCCAGTTCTTCACTCATACACACAAGATGGACCTAAAGTCTCATGACAGAGAACACAACCCATATCCTCAATGCTGTTGGCAAATACATCAAACTTGAAGTTGATGCACAATGGGAAGAAGTTTAGGGCAAGTTGTAAACCCTTCCCCAGGCATTTCCCAGCACCAAGAGCTGCTTAGGAATCAACATCTCAGAAATATAAAATTAAAGCAATTATAGAAGATAAAATTATATAAAATTCAGATGAATTAAGCAATGTCATAGAAGTCTAAATCTATTTCTGTCTGCACAAAAGTGAAACCACGTAGTCTTTTCATTAATTTATTTTGTTTCCATCCATAACATTTTTGGTCCTTTCATCAAGGAGGCAACAGAAGCAGGAGAACATTGAACTGCAAACAAATAGAGGGAATCCTTCACATGAAGTTGAGTTTCTCCACGCACTGCAGTAAGTGCCTACATTTGTGTAACAGCTAGAAGTGATTAAGCATTCATTTAACAGCCAACACTTAAGAGAGCAGAGCTGCACTGCAAACACCAGATAGCATCAATCTCTGTTCACCTACGTGAGGTCTGATAGACTGGGAGCCATGATTGATCAAAGACAGCTCCTGAGTTTCAGTACCACCCAGAAAGCCAGGCATTTAAACAACAGCCATTCCTCAAAAAAAAAACCAAAACCAACAACAATATACAAAGAACTTCCCATTACTTAATTTCTATTTTATTCCACTTGGACTTCAGCCTGAGCTTACTTAAATACCATTCTGTGACTTGCAGGTTACTCCAAGTCATGCAGGACAGCAAAATGAGGTCTTTAAGTTCACACATATATAGACAAAATATTACAGCCCACAGTTTCAACACACCCTTATCTATGTGTTTAAAATTTAAAAAACAAGGACCAAGTCATGTACATGTACTAAGTTCTCAGTAAGCTTAAAGTTAATCCTGTCTCAAAGACAGCGTTGGTTTCAGTAAATCCACATTTTCCAGTAAAGAAAGTATATCATGAAAAAAATACCATATAAGTTCTAGTTCAGACATTGCTCTGTAGATGCTCTCAAGCTACAGACCAAATACTTCCTTATGAAAATCATTCCAGGGACTTGCATCAATAAATGAAACTGGACAGCAAATATTTCAGACAGAAAGAAAAAATATATAATGGCAAAGAATTGAAGCCTTGACAGCACTCCTTCAAAGTTTGAGACATTAACCAGATTATTACTACCTTTTGGTTGTCTCTGTTGAATCTGTGAACCCCAACTGCTTCAGGAGTAATTTCCATCACATCAAAGTAGAAACCTGCATCAAGAAACATTAAAGATGTCATGTTTGCTCCCAGGCCCAAAGCTGGAATCTTATTTCTGCACACAGCTAAAATGATAATAGATGTTTTATCATGTATTTGGACATATGAGTCACCACACAGCCTGTTTCTTTACTAATTTCAGTCCACACATCAGCTTCTTAATGTTCTGAGCCATGTGGTGGGATTCTTGGGGCTCTCCTGTGCAGAGCCAGGATTTGGACTTTAACAATCCCTGCCAACTCAGGATAACCTATAATTCTATATTTCTCCCAGTTTCCCAAATGTGGATATTAAACATGCCAAAAATTTAACAAACACCAAGGCTACGAGAGAGGATACTTGCAAATGTGTCTACTGTGGTGGATGCAACACAGCTAATACATAACTCATAGTAGAAATATCCTGAGTAGGTCATATGCAAGGGTGAAAAGAGAAAAAAAAACACACAGAAAAAATGGGAAGTTGGTAAGAAGAGTACAGGAATATTGGAACATTTCATACCCTGGATTAGATTTCATGAGCTTATTAGAGAACATCAGATATTTTAAGTCACGAAGCAGAGCTGGTCTCTGAATAGTTTTGATGAGATCTGAAGAAATGCTGTAATGCTTTGTAGGCAGCTAGACAAAGATTTCTGTGGGTTGGTCAGAAAAGATATTCAAGAAAGAAGACCAGGAAAAAAATGAGGACAGAAAAACTGAACAAAATAGCTAAGAAACTAAGAGTTTCTGAGGTTCTAACCTTGGAACAAAACTGTACTGCCCTATCAGACCTGTGATTAGTGGCAAAATAAAACCCAAAACAATACTGTGCTTTAGCACACATAACCTTTCTGGTTAAACATTCTGCAAAGTTGCCAGTAAGCAGCTCTGTGTGCCACAGATCTGCAGGGGAAGCACATCCCAACATTCCAATCCTGACCTCCAAACCTCTCCAGAGGCCCCTCCCCACACCACAGGGAACAAGGAATAAAAGGGGGGTATTTAACCAGCTATGCCTTTGCTTTGCTCCCCCCCAGGGACTTAAATTATGGAGATTACTGCATTTGTTACAGATACACCCAGAGGTTATTCTAGTACATAGATTTTTGAGGATGACTTTCATGAAACACCCATTTTATAGAAGAGTGAGATATTCAAGTGAATATAACACAAGCTTTAAAACTTTAAGGCACTGTCCTGGTTCAGTAACAATATTTTCATCAACTTCCAATTTCTTTAATATTGTCTAAACTGGCTGACTTGGGGGTTTTAGAATAATTTCTTCCCATTTTCTAAAACACTAGAATTGATTTGTCTTCTAGTGAAAAGAGATTCCTGGTCATTTTAATACCCCACAGAGACTGGATTTGACAGACAACATAACAGAGTTTCTAAAAATGAAAAATCTAATCTCAAAGTGTCAAGAGGCTCTACCTTAAATTCACTTGGCTGAGGAGTGAACCCTTCCATAGCTTAAATATCTACATTTAAAAACTTTGCTGCCTATAATTTTTCCATTAATTTTACCTATATCAATTCACTCCTGAGATGATGGTGATGATTTCATACCCTGCTCTGCAATGGGTCCATTTTAATCTTGATTAGACATGTGCTCACTTTTCAATAGCTTATTTCAGAGCTATATATTAGACTTGTAAAATGTTAAACTCTGGGAGAGAAAATAATGAAAAACTTCAAATCCATGAGATTAACAGTATTTTTAAAATATTTCTATCATCAGAATTTTGTTACATTTCACTTACTAACCATAACATGGGGAAAAAAAACAGGGATTAAATGATTCTGTGACACACACTAGGGAAAATGCAGGAAATCCAGGCATCCCTTGACATCATTGCTTTGTACACATGCATGAACAAGATTCTAGAGTAATGACTAAGAAATAATATGGAGGTACTTAATTCACTTGGTTTCAGTCTTCAGAAAAAGAAATAAACTTTAATGAAAACCTCCTTCAGAAATTACTAGTTTTAAACATTCTACAGCTAAGATGTTACTAACACCCTTCCAACAACCACAGGAGATCCGTAAATATAATTTTCTTAGTCAGTGAACATTGAAGGAAAACACTGTGATGACGCTTAGGTTGTCAACAGAGCATTTCCAAGTACACATTAGGAATTTCTCTTGCTCTAGTTAACTTGATTCCTGACCTTTATGATGACCCAAGTAAAAAGGAGGTACAACACCTACTGCAGTATGAGTCTAAGCAAACCCTCCAAGTCCCAGCCCTGCTAAGGTTCATACCCAAGTTTCCACTGTTTCCAGCATCAGTTGATGATAAGGCTTTGGAGAATTCATCCCAGGAGCCTGAAGCACACTCATCTCTGATCCTCTCTCTCATCAGAGAGCCATTCTTAAAACTGAAACACACAAACACACCACATGTATTTCCCAAAACATTTAGCTCTAGATTTTAAAAGCATTTTGTTTACTTGACATTGTTTAGTTTATCAGCTGAACTAAAGCTGGGCAAGTTAGAATATATAAACACTTCATTATGGAAGGAGATAGAGAAGGAAGAGCAAGACAAGAGAAAGCTTTTCCAGGGGGTTCTGGGGAGCACAGTGCAGAGATGGGGATATGCATTTCTCCAGGGAGTCAGGTTAGATCCATGGCAGGCCATGCCAAACCCAGCTCTGCACAGCTGAGACCCCTCCTCAGAGAGGTGTCCTGCCACCACTCAGAGATGACTCTGCAAGGAGCAGCAGGAGCATCCCCACATTGCATTTATGATTTCAGGAACGTGGTACCTGTATGGAACCAGCTTGGGTCCAACAAGAATTATGATGAGGTCTAGCTCTGTGCCAGGATCTGGCAAAGGAAAGCACCACAGCCAGTTAGCAAAACATGCAGTAAAATGTGCATCTCTTCATTTTTTATGGTCTTTGCACAGTTCATGCTGTCACCTTCTTTGTGAATATCACACTCCTGCAAAATACTGCAGCACTGGACTTGAACCCAGGGGGAAGCAGTTTGAACACTCTCCAGCACAGTTATCAGAGCAGCTCAGCAGAAGAGGCACAGAAATATCAAAAATGAGGGCAAGGAAATCCTTGAACTTGCTCAGTAGCACCAGCTGAAGCTATTTGAGTTTTCTATACAAATATTCTGTCTGGTAGCTCAGGCATTCATTTTCTACTGAGGGTCCCCTATTAACTCTAATATTCTAGAAATAGAGAGGCCTTGGTGCCAAAGGGGCAGGGTCAGCTCAAAAATTACTACACAGAAGGAGCAGGAAGGATTAACTCAGCACTGCCAAGGCCACCAGCACCAAACTGCATGTTAAGCTGCAGAGAAAGAACAGCAGTGTAACATTTATTCAGAAAAATGCCTCAGTATCTGCTTTCCTATTATGAACAGGTTGTTTATATAGCTCTTTTACAAAGCAAAAGTAAAGAAAACATTGGGTGGAAGAAAAACTCAAATGTAAATTAAAAAACAAAGCAAACAAACAAAAAAATCCCACACAAAACCAAACATAACAAACAAAACCTGCTGGGAAATCACAAATCAGTAACTTGCAATTGACATCTTGGTTTTGAACTCAACTTCATGAGCACTGTTCCCACTGTCACCTACTACTGTGCAGGTGGGATTCAACACTACAGCTCCAGGGCAGACTTGAGCTTTGCTGAAGTTCTGAGTTTCAAGCATCTACAATCCAGGGCATTTAGACACAAAATTTATCTGTATATTACTTGCAAATACTTGACCTGGATTGGAAATTTTAATCCAGAATACAGTGGTTCAGTGAGGGCAAACACAGCTCCCGTCCAACCTCCTTGGCTGACAAAGGGCCGAACAACTCCCAAATCACAGCACCAAAAGCTATCATGAGGATGATTTTCTCAGCTGGGTTTCTGAGATCTCAATATTTTCCTGAAGCACAGCCCTAATGCATCCCTGAACAGCACTGATTATGATTATGCTCCTCTCTGGAAAGGGAATCTTCACTTACTCCATTATGACCCCTCTGGACCACTAGAGGAGCACAGAAGTTCCACAGCCTGGTCAGGCTCTACACATTTCACATTCCATCTCAGCAGATTTGTTATTCCTGCACATTAAATGCATTACCTGAGATACACAGAGACCTGGCTCTATCCATACACCGAAATAATTTCAGCTTTTTATTGCCATGAGGATTTATCCTCCACAACTCTGCACTTTCAATTCCTCAGATTAAACAATAGGAATGCTGTAAGGTTGATGGAAATGTTTCAGCAGTAGATTGCCATATACCGTAGAGAATGCTGAATGTTCTATTCATTATCATCTCACAAAAGAAATAAAAAGCACTAACACAGAGAAAGAAATATATGTTATCGATCCCAGATGTAAAAAAATAAATTATATTACCATAAAAGGGCCATATATGTTTGAGAATCAACAGGATTGCAGAGAATATGACCTTCTAAGGCAGGAGTTGGCTCTTGGATCCACAGGAACAATGTGTCACTTGTGCCAAGGCTAATCTGCAGGGGAAAAAAAATAATTGAAGCCTTATCACAATGTGCATGGAAAGCAATACAGAAATTAAATTAAAACCATTTGTTATTGCCACTAATTGTTTTTAAATTACACATTAAGTCAATTGGATTCGTGCTGAAGCTAGCTCTGACTTAGGCTGTCATGCCAGTGAAATACATACTGGATGGAGACTTAGGTTTTAATGTCTGCAGTGTTAGTTAAAAATAGTCACAAGAGTTTACTTAAAATCTTTCAGGCAGCTTACAGATTGATGGAAATAGAACAAGCACGAATCCAATAAGCAGCAAATCCACACTAGCAGGTACATTTAACTGGCAACCTGCAGCTATTTACATTTCAGGTATTTCAAGCATCCAAGGACAGTTTTCAGGAGAGTGTTTTGACTTACTGCAATGTCTCCTTCTTGAAGTCTCATCCCTGCCAGTGATGCTGAAAGCAAAAAGAATCCCAGGTACAAAGGTAGTTCTTTGACTTAATTGCAGCCTGTTACCTGAGACATCATAGCACATTACAAACACCATCTCAAAGTACAATATAAATGGTAAGTATGCTTCCAGTGGCCTTGGGTTACCCACCATAAAATATGGGCAAAACTTTTGGGTGAGGGTGTGATTTTTATTAAAATAAAATCAAAATGCTCAAGACAAAACTACAGAACAGCATGATTTTTCTGATGGTTTATGTATTCAGGTTTTATATGCAGTGGACCCTTGATTAACAACACACTTTAAAGGAGGAACATTCCCACTTTCATCAGATTAATCACATATTTATTGGACAAAGTTGAACTTGGGTGTCTAGAAGAAAAAAAATGGACTTTTGGGAAATGCAGAGTTTACCCAACTCCCAGAATAAGGATGTAAAATCTATCATAATGAACTTCTATCATGATTCAAACCTGCATAAGCTACTGTAATATGGAAAGTATTTTATTTTCACAGTCTGTTTCAGTGTAAAGCAAATGTTTTTTTCTCCAGTCTCCAGGATTCAAAAAACTGACCCTGAATTAACACCTCCCCTCATACTGAGATCTATCAGTCTGACAAAAGGGCAGCTCTTAAAGAAAGCCAACAAGGTCCATCTCCACCTTTTCGCTTGGAAAGATACAAGAGCATTTTTAAAGTTCATATTTTCTAAGCTAAAATGTTAGCAGTTCATAGTAGGGATGGTTTCTCATAACAAAAACTGAAGTTATCAAGAGGCAAATGAATTCACCTCTGATTACTTGGCAAAAGAGAATTAATTTAATGTCATACACAGCCTAGCCGAGATATCTCTATCTCAAAAGAATCAGTGATGGAAGGGTGTTGGAAAGAGGAATTAATGCTGATAAAAACAATATTCCTTCATTTTATAGGCAGCATCTGAGAACCAGAAAGATAGATTTAGAATTTCAGTACATACATAATCATATCCACTGAATCTTGCACAGTTAATCATCTCACCTGGATTGTCTCCTGTAAATGCTACTATTTTACAGTCTGGGCTAAACCCATAACGTTGACTATAATATGGAGAAATGGGCCCCTAAGGAAAGAAAGAGAGGAAAAAAAAGCTCAAAAAAATGGAATGCAATCTTACAATATATGACAATGGATTGTAACATGGAACCGAAAAACCCTAGAGCAGCTACAAGAACAATTTCTGAACATTTAAGGTATAAATGAATATTTTAAAAATTTTTAATACACTTTTTTCATTGTAGTTGTTCAGAACCTCACAGGAATACCCTCAGATTAGATTTGAAAGTAGGCTAGTAAACAACAGCATTTTAGCTTTGGGTCTTTCTTCAGTTATTCACATCAAGTACCATAAACACATCTATCTGTTTTGCACATATACATGAATATTAATAGCTAGAAATTAGAAATTCAATGCAAACATAAGAGGAAACACAACATTAATATACATCACAGCATCAAATGCTGGAATATGACCCCTATTATTTTAGAGGTCAAGAACTGTATTCTTTTAAGCCACATTTGATAGCCATTGAGAAAAAACAGAAGAAAACTATCCATAAAAAACACAAGGACGTCTATAAGGATTTTTTTAATATGTTCCTCTCCATTACAGATCAGCAGTGAGTTCAGAGGGCTCAGGTGATGGGTATCTCCACTGCCTCACATGTGCACAGCTAAAGAATAGCTGCTTTTGTGCTGGGTAGTAAGACTAAACTCATTTACTCAGGAGATGTGAGGCTTGATTGGATTTCACCATTATGCTAGATGAACTCAGGAGCTTTAAATATCCCAAATTATTCACAAAGATTACCTCATTAACTCTACAAACAGCTTAAAACAAGATCTCTGTTGAGAAATGCAAATGTTGGGTTCTGTTTCTGCAGCAATAAACTCCCATGCACAGCTCTGCAGTGACCAGGTGCTCTGGGGTGTGGGAGGGGACCCCAAAAATTCTTATAATTGGAGCATCCACCAAAAAGTCTCTCACACAGCCCAGGGCATGCAAGAACCAAAGGAGACCAAAGCTATGATGGGTGCCAGTTCCCAAAGACTTGCTCAACACCTTCACAACACAGCTGGAAATATTAAAGCAGCAGCATTGCACACAGAAATGCTCTCCAAGCGCCATTAGCAGAACTCCCAGCAAAGCTCCTCTTGCTGCTTACAACTCTTCTGGCCAGGGACATACCAGGACTGAGTGGGATGGGACAGGGCATCCTAGTCTCTCCTCTAATCCAGGGGCACAAGCATCAAGGCAGGGCTTTGACCATGCCTTTTCCCAAATCTGCAGCAAGTTCATACCAGAACCTACAAGAACAGATCAAAAGAGGAAGCACACAGGATTAAGCAAGAGACCAGAAAATTCCAACAACAGAAAACTTACAGATGCATGTTTTCCATTTAAAGAGAATGGTTTCAGCTCTTCTAAGAATTAAAGGTACTAAGAATTTAACCTTTGGAGAGCTTTCACCTGCAAAAGTAGCAGAAAATGCTTCTCTGATGTACAAGGCACCAGGCAATTCACAGATTATGAGTAAAGACAATCAATGCCTCCCCATCAATTCCCCCCTAAATCTTCCACCTTAGATAAGGACTTCATAGAAGTAAAAGTGATGGAGCAATGTCCCTCGAAGATGCATTGTGCTCAGCAGAGACCTAAAAGTGAAGAAATTCCCCCCTCAGTGGGATGGTTTTACATTACTCCTGCCTTTCAGCAGAGTATCCTATTAGCATCTAAATCCACACTGACTAATCTTCCTCCATATCAACATTTCCCTTTTCAATTTCTCAAATAAAGCCCCTAATTTTGAGGAAAATTTGGTACCCAGTTTTGAATAGCAAAGCCATGATTTTCAAGCATGCTGAGCAGCCCAACTGAAATCTGCAACACCTGCAAGTACCTCTTAAGGCCAGATTCTGTGAAATTATTCACAGGATGCAAAAAAACCCTAAATAACTGATTTGGTCACCTGTTTTCTCACCAGAACTATCATTAGATCTGGGAAAGGCCTTTTCAGTTTTGGTTTGGATTCTCATTGCTCTTTTCTCACTGTTTTATTGCTGGTTTAAAAGCTAATTGAAGTTGGTTAGTGGCCAAATCTATATAACATACTGAGCACTCCAGACCACTGGCTTATGATTCCAAGATGCCTTTAATTGCACATTTGATTAGACTTGAAAATCTCTATTTCTGGTTAGTGCTGCTCAGGGATAGAGTAGTCTTATTCTAGATTAATACCAATTTCATTCCAAGGACTGCTTAGCCCTCAATTTATTTATCTCAGAAACACAGCCACGTCCTCAGTTGAGCACAGTGGAAAACCTGATATTTCCTTCTGCTCAATACATTTTTAAGCTTTTCAAATCATAAAGATGGTGAAGTTGATGCCACATGCAGTGCCTGTGGAACAAGACTTGGCTTGCAGTGCTGGGATGCAGAGGAAGAAAAGGATTGAAGCCCCACCTCAGGCAGCACATCACAAAGCTCCAGCAGTGCTTCTGCTCTAAGAGCCTTCAACACACTCCACACACACTCTGCAAGCACAAGTGAGCCCACCCTATCAACTCCAAGCAGACTTTTTCATACAGGCTTAAAAATGGGTTTAATAGCATTTATAAACAAACTTTATATTTATCAGTACAATCCTAAGCACCCCCAGTGTTGTCTGGACCTAGTGCTCCACACGGTGTTTTAAACAGAAAGTGCTGCACACTTGAGCTGAAACATTGGAATAACCCAAGCCAAACAGCAGGATATTTAGATTACACTTAATAACAAAAATAGAATTAATTTTATCCAAATCAATCCCATTTCAGGCAAATTAAACAGATTTAAAAGATTTGGTCTACGTTGAAGCAGCAGGAATTTGACCGAGCACAAAGGGCAACAACCCTCCCACAGGCAAAGGATCCCTTTTCCACCATCAAAATCACTACTACACACCCAGAAAAGGAAAGATGGCAAGATTTAATCCAGCATCTCTCATGTCTCTATAAGAGATCACTCTTAATTCCAGCCATTCCCTCCTTCCCATGGTAAACTGTGTCCTGACAAGGTAAACTCAGCCCAGGGTCACCACCTGCACTTTTCAGAGGTAGAGGGTGTAAGCAGCCACATGTTCCATGCTCTCAGGCATAACAGGACTTTCTACAAGGAAATACACAAATTTATAAATTTTCCTGGAAGAGTCCATGATTTAAAAGGCCAAAAACCTCTCCACTAAAGGAGTGAGGAACAGCATCATTAAATAAATAGAATTCCTCTACAGAAAGATTAGCTGTTGTTTTCTGCAGGTTTTTGTTTAGTTTTTATCATCCTTCTTAGTCCACAAGCCTAGAGAAATATTTCACCAGAATCCTCCAATACAATTTTACAAGACATTACAAGACATAGGGCAGCCTTCAATTTTTCCTACATAAAACAGAAAAGCCTCTAATCTTTATAACTGAATGTTTACATTACAGAAACAAAAATTTAGTTTATTAACTGGTAGATGCAGTCTGTGACTTTCATATGCCCTGAGAAAAGACGGGTGAGGCAATTTGCCCCAGCCTCAAACTAATTTAAAAAATGTGAAAAAACTGTTTTAGAAGAACTGTTAATCTGTTGGGCTGGATTCATCCTGTCCAGCTGTGGGCATTGGAGTCTCAGTAGAAAACAAAAAGCAGAACTGAATTCTCCTCTGATTATACAAGGAGTTATTCCCTCTGAGTTCCTAACTCCAGCACCTCTGCTCATGATCTACATCACAAAGTTCAACATACAAAAATCAGTAATAATCTGAGGAGTAAGGGGAGAAAACAAGCAAAAATCAAAGGCAGCCCTTTGACTCATCACCCCATCAGCAGTGAAGGTCAACAGCCAAGGCCATGGCACAGTAAGAGCTGAGGAAAGGGTCAAAACATGGAATAATAAATTTCCATATTTCACTGACTTTTAGCACAGAATGACCAGGAGCACAAGCAGGACTTGCTAATATTTACTACAAATACAGAAGTGCTTGAACACTTGGGGGGAAAGGGGAGAACACAAACCCTTCCTTTACAACGAGCCAGCCATGCAGATTAACTGGTTTTATTAATCCACAAAGCAAAGATCAATATTTGCATACATTTATAAGCAGTTAAATGCATCTATTTCTGCATTAAGGCCCTCTGTGTTGCCTTTTCAGAGAGCCAAAGCCATGAGAACTGTAACCACCAACACCACACAAGCTACAGGAGGAGTAAATTCAGCCCACCACACCCCTTTGGAGAAAGCTTCAGTCCAACACATCCTTTTCTGGTAGAACAGCAAGAAACAAGTATGTCAAGCTACAATTTGCCTAAGGCTCTTAGAAAAGCATTTCAAAAGATAAAGTTCCTCTAGGTCAAGAGCTGAATTGCTGTTCCTTAAGGTGTCTTCTAAAAAGAAACAATGCCCCAAGTGTTCAACTCCTTAGGTCCCAGATGTATCTTACTTTTAACACCTGCAGAATAGAAATAAAAATCATTCATTCCACTAGAAGGTAATTTCATTTTTTTAAATCAATCACTCAGGGTATTCAGCCATTCACAAGTTATTTGAACCTTAAAAGATTGGACCTTTAAGAAGAAAAAGAAAAAATTCTGAAACTGAATAGCACATTTCCCACAATAACCTGCCAATTTGGAGATAAGTTATTGTGTAGAGCTAAACAATTTGACAGGGTCTTTTAAAGATGATATGACCTGAAGTTAAACCTACAGAAATGAAGAATAGGTCTATTATCTGAATATTATTTTGAGAGATGCATTTTAGACTACAATACACAGGTGCTAAGTAAAAGATCAAGTGAATTGCAAGAAATTGCAAGTGACAAGAAAACAACTTTTTCAGCTGCATCCAAATAACTACTGCATCCACTATACTTATATTTTATTACTGGAATTAGAATTTTCTCTCATTATATTAACAGAAGAAAGGAATGAATGAGGCAAAATATAGCTTACAATGCCAAAAAAATCTTTTGTCTTGTAAAGAGAACTGTAACATCCTGCCTAGTTCTCTTATCTTTTTTCACACAAAGATTTAATACTCTTACATGCTCTGAACAGCACATAACGTTTATTCAGGTTCTGTAAATACCTACAGGTGTAACAGAACACACTCTCCTGGAGCTGTTTGAAAAATGTGACTCATTTTCTGAAAAAAATTTTCCAATTAAGGAGATTTAAATTTTCTTTACTTTAAAATATTTTGTTTTCCAACAATTTTTCCACGTTCTGAAATAGGAGAAGCATGGCTTTCCTCCACTTGCTTCCAAGCAGAAAAGGCAAAGTAACATTACCAAAAAATAAAAAAAAACAAAAACCCAAACAGGAGATATTTTTAATGCTTATAGTTTTAAACATTCAAATCAAAATTAACACTTCATTCTCATTGAAAAATAAAAAAACAGTATGTTTCTTTATCAGAAAAAGCACCTAAACATCTCTCTATCTCTCTTTGAAATACAGTAGGTGGCTGAGCAGCCCAAGTGCTCAGTATTTGGACCTGCTGAGGAGCAAAGTGCAAATCTCCAAGGAGTTATTGTTGCAATAACACACACAAAAAAAAAGAAAACCTCAGCTGTGAAATACTTGGCTAAAAGGACAGGACCAGAAAACAGATCTAATAATCTCACAAGTGGTATGAAATAAGCATGGATTGCCTTGCCATTTCTGAGGTCTCCAGTGTAACTGGAGGTTCTGATAGCAAGTTGTCCATTAGCTAAAATTGAGGTGTCTTGTCTTTTCCTGTAACATTTGATGGAATAACAAAGGAGAAAAAATGAATTGGTCTTAACACATGGGTGTCAACCATGACTCTGTAATGCAAAAATTCTGTAGAGAGCCTTGTTATCTAACCTTTCAGCTCTGAAATATACCTTCTCTTAGTTTCAGAGCAGAAATCAGAAATGTTTTTTTAGAAATAACAGCAGAGCTCCCAGGAAAATGCTTTCCTTTGTAATTGCCATTTTAAATTGCCATTTAAAAGCTGGATAACTGAGATAACACAGAACAGAAAAGGGAGACAGTAGACTTGTCACCTTTTTGTCTTTGTTATGATGAATGGAGAGATATGAAAGATTTTTTTTTTAACTGGGTTTAGTGCATTTTGCTTCATTTATGCGGTTTTTTTTTCCTGGTTCATTTTGAAAATATACTTCTGTTGTAGATCCATACTCCAGTTAGGTGGGGAAGAAATCATCACAATATACAACATTTTCACATCCTGTGCACCTCTGAGCTAAACCAGCAAAACTAAAGAACAAATATCAGAATTCAGGAGTTTAGTTTGAGATTCCACAACTTTCTGATGCCTCTAGAAGGTCTTTCACCACTCCTTTATACATCACAAAATAACAGAAAAAAAAATATAATTACATTTAAGAATCTTTTCTGTGGATCCATTTGATAGAAGTGGGAATCAGTATGATGGGGAGAGATGAGCATAGCAAACATCAAACTGAAAGGAGTAACTTAGCTTAAAATCTAATATACTTGTCATTAAAATTTAAAGATTGAAAACAAGCACCAGACACCTTGTCCCCAATCTGTAATGTGTGGAGATGGGAAGGAAAATTTCCTTGGTAAACTTACTATGAAAAAAGCCCACACTTACCATCACTGTAATCAATGGGTGCATAAGCTCCTAGGAAAAGGGAAGCTGCAAAGCTACTGACCAAAGAGATTCTCTGCAAAAAAAAACAAAACCAGTGAGAAATAGCGAGTCACATCAGTATTCACTTCAAAGAAAGTAAGTAGAATGCAAATAAAATTATTGGAAGCAGCAAATGTTAATAGATGCTTAAGATTAGGCCCAGAAAACACACAAATACACATCTAGAAGGATTATTCAGTTGCAGTAATACAGCACATATCAATCTAAAAGTAACCCCATGACAAAAGCTGTTAAAAGCTCTGCCTTCTGAAACATGCAAAACACACCTGGTATGTTATCATACTGTGTTAGCATGAATCCACAACTTCAGTCTATCACAGAAAGACTTCCAAAGGAAAAAAACCCTCATTTTCAAAGAAAAACACTTTCTAAGAAAAAAACAAAAACCCAACACCACAAAACCACCTGTGTGTTGATGACAGGGAAATGCTCAGAACCCTGCTCTGCCCCACCCAGAGCACAGGTCTGTAAACTTTCAGAAGCTCCAGCAAAGCTCTTGGGGCACCTTTAGCACCTCTTTGGGACCCCTTGCCTTCCTTCCAGCTGAGCCCCCAGACCTCCCTGGAGTTACTGTCAGGAGCTGGTAATAAACAGCTTTGAACTGAGCCCCTGCCTGCAGCTCTGCCTCAGGGCATGCTCCAGCTGCACAACATCCAACCGCAGGGCTGGCCAAAAAATGCCCCCTAGGACACTGATCCACCATGAACCTGCCTCCTCCTCACATCTGCTGTGCAAACCACCAGGTTAACCAGCCACAACCAGGCTTTCTGCATGATCAAGAACTGCCTGACCCCAAGAAGCTGGCACAGAAGCAGACAAATCCCTCATTCTGTGCTGTGACTCACTCAGAAGAAATATGCTTGTCACCCAATAACTAAACAGAATCAAACTTCTGCAGGTGGAGCGAGCCAGAAGTGACAGGTTCTTATTAATGATCACAAAAGCTCTTCTTCACAGCATTCAAGGGCAGCCTGTAGCCAGAGATCTAAGAGGTAGTTGTAATGGCCAGGAAATTTAATGATGCACTTGCTCTTCGTGCATCTCTCCCCAAGAATACACCACATTGTGCTCAGGTAACAAAGGCCTACCTTCTGTGGTGCCCCAGTGGGCACTAGCTGCCTGAAATGGAAGGAAAAAAGGATGAAGTTAAACTGTGAATCAGCCAGCCAGTTTAGCAAGCTGACCTACAGAAGCAAAAACATCCACCTTCCACATGTCATTGAGACTGCCAAGCTGTTCAGTGCCCCTTGAGGGTCCCCAAGAGCAGCTCTGGCAGAGAGAAGTTTTGTGCTTGAATGCATTTTGCATAAGTTTTTTTGCTAGAAGTTGCCATCAGTTCAAACAGCCCTCAAAGTCTAAAATTGGTTTAACTAGTTCTCAGTCCCACTTCCCCCCAGTAACATATCTTTCTCTAAATTTAGTCTTAAGTTTATGACCAGACCATATAAGGGTTCTGTTTCATCTCACACCTTACTAGTTACAATGAGAATGTAAAAGAAAAGGGGAAAAAATTGAAAATCTAGCATTCTCCAACAAAATAGAGTCAATTTGCAATTCACTTTCTCATGAAATGAACTGCTTCATACAGGGGCGAGATTTAAAAAAAATAAACCCACAAAAAAAAAAAAAAAGAATGCTATCAAGAACAGAAGTAATGGAAAACCAGGTCTTCCTTACTCCCCTTTATAAAAACAGGGTCTATGTTTCTCCTTTTCCAGTCAATGGGAGCTTCACCAGACTGTCACAACTTCTCAAATACAATGGATAGGGACTTAGCCACTTCATTCACCAGTTCCCTCCCAGGACCTATGGAAGTATTTCATCAGGCCCTTGTGCAGCTTCAGGTCCCTTTGATGGTCTTGAACTCAATCCTCTCCTACACTGGGTGGCTCTTCATCATCCCAGTCCCTGCCTTTGCCTGCTGTGGCTCAGGTGATGTGGCTGGAACTCTTGCCAGTGAAGGTCAAGGCAGAAAAGTGCTTGAGTACCTGGCCTTCTTCACAGCCTGGCTAACCAGGTCTCCCATTTCCTTTGGAGAGGGCCTACATGTCTCAAAATCATCTTTTTAACACCGACATAGCTATAAATGCTTTTCTCACTGCCCTTGATATCCCTGGCCAGACTTAATTTTGTCAGGGCTTTAGCTTCCCTGACCTGATCCCTAACTGCTCAAAGAGCCTCTCTGTATTCCTACCAGGCTACTGTGTGTATTTCCACCTTCTGTAGGCTTCTTTTTTGTGTTTGAGTTTGTCCAGCAGCACTTTGTTCATCCACACAGCCCTCCTGCTGTTTTTGCCTGACTTAATCTTAGCTGGGATGCATCACTTCAGAGCATGGAGGAGGTGATCCTTGAACATGAACTAGCTTAGGAGAGCCTGTATCCTTCCATTCCAACACTCCAGGAAGCATCCCACCATATCTCCACAATGCCAAAAGGATCAGAACCCCCTAACTCCTGTTTATTCCCATGCCATGTGTGTTTGCCCAGACATTTAATCTGTTCCATCAATGATGCTCTCCTGCTGACCTGCCATCCCTCTCCAGGCTCTGGCCATCTCCTTCTGGCACCAACCTCATAGGAGTGGGATAATCTGAGGTTCTCCTCCCCCAACAACTTCAGTTTAAAACTCAATTCACCAGCTTGAGAAGTATAACACTCAAAGTAGAACTGATGTTGGATTTTTATCTGCCTAACCACTAATAATTTAATAGAATTTTAAAAATTCAATTTTCATCTTAAATTCAAACACAAGAATCAGAATAATCTTTAGCAAAAAGGTCTGTAAAAACATCTGTGCAAAATAAATTTTAAAAGACTTTCAACAATGTTTTTCAATAAGGGAATTGAAGTTAAGCCAACCTCAGTTTGCTTGTAGACCTCAGGATTCTGGCTGTAAATCTTTGCTATCTGGTTTCCTGTAAAACGCTGAGAAAGAAATGCAAATGCTTAGAAACACAAACCCTAAATGGAGTCAATAATCATTAACTCTGTGTAATGAGTTCAGAACATTGCACTTTGGATATTTAATTTGCCTGATGCATGATGAAAGTCAGTGCACAGCAGGCAATCTGCACTAAACAGGGTATAACACATAGTCTCATTATGAGAATTTTGTTCACCTTTTGAAAAAAAGGCATGTGGAAAAGCATTACTATCCATAATTTACATTTCAGAAATGACAGTTCAATGGAATGAATCACACTTATTCTGTGCACAGGACCCAGCACAATTCAAATGCTGCCTTCACATCCTTGAAAAGGTTTAAGCTACACAATCTATGTACCTGCCTGTGAGGCAGGTGAATTGAAATTAAAGCAGGAAGTTTCATACTCAAAGCATATACTCCAGCACAGGCTAAAAACAGCTGTAAGAATATTTATTTTTCATCCATGTATTAGGTCAGATAATCAAAAAACCTTTTAACACTGAAACCTTAACATTTAACAAGTGAAAAATAAACTGTTAGTGGTATGCCAAGTCTGATTTCAACATCAGCCACGATGATTCAGAAACATCAGTTTGGAAGGTTAAAGCCTTATTCTGATTAAACAAGGGGCTGAGGTGCCTGCAGGGCAGTCCTGCTCCCACTCCAGAACTCATTGTCACAGTTACAAGGAGGGAAGACTCAGGAAGAGGAGACAAGTGGCAGCATATCTCTGACAGTGCCCCAAGCCTCTGAAACACTCTTAGGTCAACAGCTGCTTGTCAGCCTCCAGGGAATATTAAAAGGCCAATCTTTTAATTGCAGAAGTAACCTAGAGCATGATTCACAAATAGGTGGATGGATTTACCCTAAACAAAAGTATAACACAAACTGGGTTTCCATTCCAGTAGAAATGTGGCCACACAAGATGCTCCCAGGGGACAACAAGGTCCTTGAGACTTTAAGCATGGCCACCCAACACCACATTTGGGAACCACTGGCCAAACGCTCCAACTGCTTCCTGAAGCAAAATTTCCAGTGTTTGGTTCATGTCACTGTGACATTTCTGTATCTCCCTTTGTGGGGCTAATGCAAAGCACAGTATGGTTGGAGTTTCTTCAAAAGCTCTGTCTCTCACAGTTAATGGCTGAGGGCTACCTGCTGCAGCTCCCTGCAATGACAGAATTGTTTCCAGCACGGGATTCTGCTGGGAACTCTCTCCCACCCATTCCTTACCTCATAGGCCCTGGAGCCAGTGACACTGGCCAGGTGCTGGGCTCCCCCCAGGGCTTTCTCCAGGGCTCTGCACTGGGAGGCTGTGCTGGAATCCATCCAGATGGGACTGTCACTGACTGAAAAACAGCCCTGTAATCAAGAACACCCTCTATTAACAAGTCTGATCTCTGAAGTCCCTGCTAGAGTAATGAAATACAGCAGCCATGCATATCAGCTCACAGCTCAGCTCTCTGACATGCCTCCTGCCTTTCTCTCAGCAATTGCAGAAAGCTGATATTGGGTACAAGGTTGGCCAGGGATGAAAAGTTCAACCCAAACTTTGCATCAGAGGGAAGCAACATGTTTTTTTTCTGCTGTCACTACACAGACCCTGCAGCACATCCTCTGGCAGCCAAAACCCCTCCACAACAAACCATCAGATTATCTTCCCAGTTCTAACAACACATTTCTCCTTAATGCATGGCATAAACACCTAGAAATTCAACTGAGGCTTAATCCACAATTTATTCAGGCATTTTAATGTCATTTCCATGAGTTTTGCAGAGATGAGATAGTTACAAAACTAATGATTTAGCACATTTAACACAATAGTCTCCCTTTCAACATATATCTCCCCTTTCTGACACCAAAGTAAGGGAAGAAGGGTCTTCCAGAGGAAAGCTGAGTCCTCCCAATTTTTCTTTTTAAATAAAAGCTTGTCAAATCCATGTTCAAAGCTCACCAATCACACACATAAAATATTGAGGTCAACAAGGTACTTGGTTAGGATTTTAAGTCCACACAGCATTACCCTTGCCTCTGAAAGGATAGAGGTGTAAACTGGTCTTTTTAAATAGATATATTTTCTTATGAAATCACTTGCACATCCTGCAAGGAATCTCAGGTACAGCAGTCCTATTCACCACAATTTTTTGATAATATAAATATATTAAAAATGTAAAATATTTACAGATTGTTCACAAAAATATTACATTTTCTAGAAGAACAAAGTCTGTTACTCTGACACAGAAAGATCCTGGGACACCCACTGGCACCTGTAAGCTTTTAAAGCAGAACATACAGCCATTCAGGAGAAAATGAAATGTCAAAAGTCCTGCAACTGAAGGAATAACTACTACATTTCATTTATGCTGCAGGGGCTTGCAGCCCAGCCAAACAAGAGGAAGAAAAGCAATGTGTAAGGATCAGAAAAAGGACAGTGTAGCCCTCCTTTCAGAGCTTTTGTGCACCTTACCTTTAGTGATTGATGTAAAGGCAGTTCAGATGATGCATTCTTTAAAATCTGGATGCTTCCTTTTTTCCAGTACACACTCCCATGTTGCTGTAGGAAACACAAACAGGAGCTGGAGATGCCCTCCAAAGCTTCAAAGTCCTGATCTTATATTCTAAGTAACAAAAGAGCTCTCCCCACACCAGGACCAAAAAATGGCCCATTTCAAATCAAGGGGTCTCAAAAAATCTCTTATTTAAGACTGAGCAAAGCAGACCCTAAATCAGAATATTATTTTGAATGACAGAATTTTCTAGTGGGGACAATTACTGCATTGCTAATGGCATTAGATACTTATTTGAGGGCTCTTTGAGCTGTAGCCAGGGCTCCACAGTCAAGATTTAGTTCTGTGCAATTCCAGTAGAGACCCCTGAGCCATCAGGCCTGTCCCTCTTGCTGGAAGGGCAAAATAAAGAGAATATGGGCAGTCTGGAAATGCACTCCCTTTATTCTCTTGAGTAAGGTGGGGTTACTTGGCAGTCCTCAACTTCTGCTCCACTGAAGAATTCATAACAGAGCCTTGATACCAGCTCTTATTTTCAGACACTTTGCTCAGACTTTCAACTGCAATCAATGAAACATAGAGATGAAAGCAAGGGGTTTGATTAATTAGTCCCAGATACATCAAGATGAATAACCTAAACCTCACATGTCAGAATTAGCTGTTGCTTTGGTGCTGTCCTCACCCTGAATATCATCTGTGAAAGTTATAAAAGCCTCTGTTGATTCATAGGAGTACTAGGAGGAGACTGGCTAACTGACCAAATGTCAGGGTGGGTTCTATAAATTTAAAAAAAAAAAAAAAAAAAGCATTATGCTCTACAGGCTAAATCATGGAACCATTTTTGTCATTTCTGCATCATTTGGGTTTTGTTGTTTCTGTGCAGATCCCTGTCCAAGCCAACAAAAAACTGCTCAGTGGGATGCTACTATGCTTTTAGCAAACTGTGCTCCTTGCTGGTTTTCCTACCCTATTTTCCACAAGCACCTGGATCTGCTGAAATTCAAAATGAACAAAGAATTAAAACAACATGAAGCCAAGCAGTTCTGCACTAAGCTGATCTAAACAATTACATTGCAAACCTCATCCTCTACTCCCACCATCTTCTAGTGATTGCCCTGTGTGCTTCAGGTGTCCAGTTTCCCTGAGGAACGTCTGTGGATGCTTATGTAGAAGTTTAAATCTTATTTTATGCCATACAACTGTTTAAATTTATCACTCAACCTTATACACTACCAAAGAAATGCAGTAAAACTGAACTTTTCTGTATAAACTAACCTGGCCAGCACCAGACATTGCTCTGACTTGAGAGAAGTCAAAGCCTGAAGACTTCATCTTTTCCAAGATCACATCCAGAGCCTACAACAACAAACAGAATCAAGAATGACAGTAACGAGCTATCAAATTATGCATACTCACAATCTGGAATTAAACAGTAAATTCGTGTCATCACTGATAAGAGTTCATTGGCAGATAATGAAAAATTAGTTAATGACTATGGACTTTTCAAAAATCTACATAAATTAATTTATTAAGTGAGAGTCCATAAAAGAAAAGTTGAGTCACACAGGGGAAAAATAAGATCTTTAAAGAAGCTAAATCACAAAGATCCACTCTTTGAATCCTAAATAAGAGGCAAAAATTAAAGAACTCCAGTTCATTAAAAAGCACTTTAGGAGTACCAGACACAAAGAAAGATTATCTTTTCTGTTCTTACTTTTGAAAACCTATGAAATCTTAATAGGGTACACCCTGCACCCCATCCTACAAGGCATTCTCAATACCAGTGCCCCCAGTATCAACAAATTCACAGAGTCTTTAACAGAAAGATAATTCAAGTGATTTCAGCACTTCAAGCACCTAGGTAAATTTTGTTCTTGATACATTTTCCTGAAGTTTAAAGCAAAAAAATTACTCTATCTTTAAACAGTTTAATTTAGACCAGCATTTCCCAGACTCTCTTGACAAATGGACCACTGCAAGACTTTCAAACATCATACATACCTATATCGTTATATTATTAATTTAATAATCACAACAGTGCCTCTTCACTGTGGTTCAAAAAACCAACTGCAAGCAAATTTACCAATCCCTTTCCAGCTACTGTGGATCACCAGCTGGGGGTTTGGTGACCTTTCTAATATTTTAACTATTCAAATCCCTCTAGTAGGAAAAACTTACAGAGTACCATGTAAGTGTCACAGTTGAGATGGCCATGATACACAGAGCATCACCACACAACTCCAGAAGGCTTTAAGCATTTGTTCATACCCAGTACCACCTTACCACATCAGAAAGCTTCAGGCATCTGCACGTACAGAGGAACATCCTCCCACCTCAGAAGTCTGCAGGCATCTGCCCTTCTTGTTCTTTAGCCCAACCTTTTATACCCCTGATGTTAATGCACTGCACCTGTGTGTCCTCTGGCCCCTTTGGTGATTAATACACCTGGGCACTCCATGGCTCATTGCTGTCAATGCTGTTCACCTGCTTTTCACAGCTGTAGCCCATTGGGGAGGAGGCTCAGCCCCACTCCCGATTACCCCAAACTGTGTGCCTACATGTAAATATTGCAGAATCTGCACAGAAATAAGAAATTTTATTAAAAAAAAACCAAACAAAAAAAAAACGCTGTACTTCAAAATCAACATCAGTCAAAGTTACTGACTGGGAACCAGTGAATAAATTGCCCTTTCACCACTTACCAGCCTCAACATCAAGCAGAGCTTACTCTCAATTAAATAGTTTAAGTAATATGGGTGCTACAAAAACACAGATTCAAGCAAGGCAAAGTGGCAGCTGCCCCATTTGTGTATGAGATGGAAAAAAAAGAATCTTTTTTTCCAAATGAAAGAAAGTCAGGAAGGAATTTCTCACACGTAGAATGCTATAATAGTAGAAAGCGAAGAAACAAACAAAAAACCCATCAAAATGTTAGCAATTTCTACTATGTTTGTTGATAGCATCACTATTTGCATACCAAAGACACAGAACAACACTTCAAAGAAAGAGAATGTAAGCAAAAGGTCTATGTTGATTTGAGTGATGAGTTCCACTATTGCTCAGAGTAAACTTTGATTTCTGTAACAGCAAGGAAAAAGTTGATCCATATAAAGTTTGTTCATACCTTGACCCACATAAGCACTGGTGAAGTGACTGTCAGTCTGTCACTGTGAATGTAGACTCCACCTTGAGTCCTACGGAAAAACAGGATTTTCTCCTGGTAAATTCAGCATTTTTTTTTCCCTGCCAAGTAGAGTTCTTCAAGTTTATAATGACCAAGAGAATTTGCAATGCTTTTATGTTAAGAGCAAGGATCAGTGTTTGAAACATGGAAAAGTAAAATCCAGCTCCTAGGAGGTGACATGTTTGACATAATTGCAAAGTAAGTGATTTTAAAGGAAAGGCCCTGATCCTAAAGATCTGTAATACAATCCATTGCTGATATTGCTCATTGGCTGCATCTGATTCATAATCATTTCTGTCACAATTAGTGACTTGAACCTCAAAGATGAGGTTCAATTCTGCTGTTAAACCATCAAGTAAATTAATGTGTTTTATTGAAACTTGTGACTGGAGGATGACATTTGTCAATTCTAGTCTATCATTTAAGTAAGCAAATACTGTCATCCCACATCTTAACAACTGAATTTATCCCAAATGCCTTTTAGATGTTCCCCTCATGCAATTTACATGCTGTTCTGAGAGCATCCCACCCAGTCATGTCCACAAGTCTAAAATTCCAAAAGAAAAAGAATGGTTTATTTATATGTAATATTTTGGAGTATATTTTCTTAATTTGTCTCCTGTTGGGAGCTCTTGTTATATTTACACTCAAGGAAGGCAAGAGCATATACTACCCTTGCAGAGTGGGAAACATGAGTATGGCATGATTTTTTTCTATGCCTCCATCAATATCAGTGAGACCAAAAAGGGCAACAGTCCCCCCCACCCCAATCTCCAAAGCTTTAAATTACATTATTCAAGTAAAATATAAAATATAAAAAGCCTTACTTAAATTCTGGAAGGTCCTTATCAAAATGAACATTATCCTCATAAATGACCCTCAGCTGTTCATCAATAGCAATGACTTTCAACTAGAAGATATGAAACAGGAAGTTAACAAAATCTAGCAATAATTGAATAGAACTGATGACTCATTTATAATAATTTAATTCCCACAGACAAAATGAAAAAAAAAAATCACCCCAATCCATACAACTCACTGAAAATAGGGCATAATTTTACATTAAACAAATTATTATGTGAATTTCCACAATGTTACCTATTCAGCAACATGTGGGTTAGTTTGTTTGTATTTTCTTTCTCCTGTAATGCACAAGATCAGGCTACAGGGATGTGCTAAAGAATGGCAAACATGTTACCAGGCTTGTAGCTTGCATCACAGTAGCCAGCTTTTCCAATTCCTCCAAAGAATACAGTATCTTAAAGATGTCATACACCTTCCCTTTTTTTTTTTTTTTTTTTTTGTCACCTCCTTTTTTTTGTCTTATCTTGCCAAGGAACCTCACAGACCCTTTAGGCTACCTTGAACACCTTTCCTGCTCCCCAGATGGTGAGCAAATTAAATTCTGCCCATTTGGAAAAGCTCAGAGGGCAGCATTATATAAGTGTATTTTGAGCTACTGCCACAGAAAGCAACATCTCCAACTCCACAAAGCTGAGCCTTCTTGTAAGCACGAATTAGAAGGGTACCACAATCTTTCCTCATCTATCTTCACTTAAGTTCACCTAGTTCTGCAGAAAGACAGTAAGAGCTGAGAAGAAAAGCAAGAAGCAGCTCACATTCTGTGCCTATTTCAACCAAGGGGGAGAGTGCAAGCTGCTGCAAAAGGAACTGATTAACAAAGAACCTACAATTCTATCATCTCAAGGAGCTGCATTCAAATAACAAGGCCATCCCCATTTTTACCACAGTAGTATAGAACCATTATCTATGCCCTGGCACAACTCATTATCAACCTGCACTCGCTTAAAAATGGCTCTGACCCACTGCAGCTTAATTGGCTCTCTGCTTGCAGCATGTCCCCATAAAAACACTTGATCAGCCTAACCTGGATGTGTCTTTTCAAGCTCCCAAACTTCAGCACAACCATAATGGTGATTTATGCTTGAACACCTATTTTTAACATGTTCAGGTCTCTGCACAACTTGGGCAGAGATTCTATTCACAGTGCAGCAATATCTGGCTGTGACTACAAATCAGAATTTCCAGCAGAAACCTGAACATCCAGGTTCAGAGCCTTGATTCACATGAAGACACTGGGAATCTGGGTTTGGATGCAAATCCCAGCTCCTACAGCAGCAGGCAGAGGGGCCATATGCAGCCTGCATAAAAAGAAGGACCACAGCACTCCTCCAAGATTTAAACCATCCCTAGCAGGATGGGGAAGCAGGACGCATTTGGATATGCAACCCACTGCTTCAGATGGGGCAAACAGAAAGGGGATATGAGAACAACCAGGTACATGCACTGTGTGCAGGCCATGGACATCTTAAAACACACAAATCACCCCGAATTATTACAGCCATAAGCTAAAATACAGGAAGTTCTGCTTGAAAATGACGAAGAACTTTGTTACATTGACTCTGGCAGAGCACTGGAACAGGATGCTCAGGGAGGATACGGAGTCTCCCTCTCTGGATAGATTCCAAACCCACCTGGACATATTCCTGTGTCCAGGTGACCCTGCCTTGGCAGGAGGTTTGAACTGGATCCTCTCCAGAGGTCCCTTCCACAGACTCACAGAATCGGTCAGGTTGGAGGGACCATAGTGGATCATCATCCGGTCCAACCTGCCTGCTTTGGGAGGATTCTGAGCAGACATCTATTGACTGTCCCCAGTGACGGAGACTCCACAACCTCTCCGGGCAACCCAGCCCTAAGGATTGTGTAATTCCGTGAATAATTTGGCACCGGCCGTGTGGGGCTGCAGCGGCTGCGAGCCCCGGGCAGGGAGCACCGCCCCGCTCCCCGCAGCCCCGGCCGGGCCCGGCGAGCAGCCCCGCCCGGCGAACCCAACCCGCCCGGGGAAGGAGGAGAGCGGGGACGGAAGGCGCGGGGAGGGGACGGAAGCGGCGAGAGAGGGAAGGCCTGGCCCCGATCAGGCTCGGCAGTGGCGGCGCCGCCATCCCCTGCTCATCCCTCCGGGGCAGCCCCCGCTGGCCGCAGCCCGGGCCCGCGAACGGAGCCGAACCGGGCAGCGCAGCCCCGCAGCGGGAAGGGAAGGGAGGGGAAGGGAAGGGAAGGGAAGGGAAGGGAAGGGAAGGGAAGGGAAGGGAAGGGAAGGGAAGGGAAGGGAAGGGAAGGGAAGGGCAGCCCCGGCCCCGCCGCCGACCGAGGGAGGGGAGAGCAGGGGAGAGACGGGGGAGGTGGCGCGGTACCTGCTGTGTGCTGAAATCCCAGCCCAGGTAGCAGGGAGCGGCCATGGCACGGCACGGCCCTGGCCCTCAGCCGGGAGCCGGGGCAGGGAGAGGGAAGGGGGCGGCTCTGCTGGCCCGGCCTCCCTCCCGGGGCAGGAGCCGCCGGCCCGGCCCCGCCGAGCGGCGGCACCGCGGTTAATGAGTGCTCAGGGGGCAGGGAGCGGGACGAGAGATCCATCCCTCGCACCGAGGGGTCAGGCAGAGCTAGGGGGGCGATGTGGTGGTGGTGGTGGTGGAGGCCGTGGTGCGGTGATGCTGCGGTGGGATTGTCCCGAACACGGCCCGTTAGAGCTCGGGGGTGATGCTGTGGTGGTGGATCGAGGCCGTGGTGCGGTGATGCTGCGGTGGGATTGTCCCGAACACGGCCCGGTCCCCGCTGCGCAGCCCCAGCTCACACACCGGGGCGAGGGGATGCCGTCCCTTCATTCCAGACTGAGCAAAGCAGGGAGCGGGGTGGTAACCCACAAAAGGCTGGAGCGCAGGTCTTCAAACCTTTACACTGTTTATACATTATAACAAAGGCGTCAGCTTTTGTTGGTTACAAATTATATGACTTTTCCCGGCATTTGAGTCCGTTTCGAGCAGGAGTGAGTTGATGGTCGAGATTACCTGCTGTTGTGATCACTTTTCCCCCAGTTTCTGCTCAATTCTGCTGAATTCACTCTTGGTGGCTCTTGTCCAGCCCATTCATCTTGGGACTGTCTTCCCTGTTCCTTAAAACAACAGATTAGCCAAGCATACAGAATTCACAATGCAGTTGCTTAATCTTAACTGTCCAGCTACAGCTGCTGGTTAGCAACTAAAATAAACACCTGCAAAGTTTGACACAGACCCTCGTTCAAATCTTGAGGGGCTTGGGATCAGGATAATGGGATGGTGGGTCACACTGTGCCAGGGTGGTGCATGGAGCAGCTGAGCATGGATAACCAGCACCCATACCCAGGGATCCCCAGAGGCAGTACCCAGCCCAGTGAGAGAACACCAGAGCTGCCATGCAGGAGCCACCCAGGGTCCAGAACCAAATCAAAATGAGCAACCTCAAGCCACAGTCCCAAGGAATTAATTAAATTTTAATATCGCGTTATTGCAATTACTGTCCCACAGCCCTGTTGTGGTATCACACTCTAATCAGCACAAACACACACAGCATTCCATTAAAAAACCCACTATTGTTACTTTGGCTGAATTGTTGTTTTCTAGTTTGCCTTTTTTCACTTGGGAGGGTTGGGAAGGTTTTAGGGTTTTGCATTATCTGCCTGTGACCAGCAAAGTGGTATACCCTGATCAAAAGAAGACTTATCTAAAATACACTTCCATTCTGCAATCAAGGCAGTATCTCAGCAGAGCCTTAATGAAGTCAAATAGATTTTGCATGCCCAGGATGCAAAACTGTATTTGTACTGTAAAAATATTTTAATATTTTTACAGTACAAATACTTCATTTGAGATAGCCCAGTTGGTCAGAACATGGTACTGATAATGCCAAGGTTGTGGCTTTGATCCCTGTATGGGCCATTCATTTAAGAGTTGGACTTGATGATCCATGTGGATGTCTCCCAACTCAGAACATTCTGTGATTCTAACTATAAAATACTACCAAATTTTGTCATAGACTGAGCATTTAAAAATATATCCAGCGATTTCTCAAAGCCTTAACACCCAAAGGTTTATACTTACAATATTTCTAGTTATTGTTATAAAGAACAACCTTTTGAACAATGGCCACAAGGTAGTGATGGAATTTTCCTGCCCCTGAAAAGCTCATGCTGGATGAACCTGTCCTGAACAAAGGTCTCACTTAACCAGAGGCTGTGAAGGAAATAATGTTTTTGAAATGTTACCAAGAACTGTTTCCTTGGTGTAATTTATACCAGAAAACAAAGGATCAAATAACACACAGAAGCTGGGTTTTTTATTAATGCAGAATGTGGCTGGTGAGCCAGAGAGGAGAGGTTTGCTCAGCCCTTTCATTGGCTGCACAGTCCCTGTAAACAATGACAGATTCAAAGGCTGAGGCTGGAAGCACAAGTCTGAATGTAAGAATGATGAATACTTCTGAAAAAGAAAAATGAGTGGATTTTAATTGTTTTTTAAGGAGGTATTGGCTAGTAGAAAGGGAACCAGAGTTTATAAATAAAAAAGCAATCTTGTGAGGATGTAAGAATCAGTTCTATTCTTCAGCAATCAGGTCAGAATAGTATCAAAAAACAAGAAATAATTTGACTTAAACAGCACAGAAAAGCTGGGACTGGAATAACCTCCCTTGTATTATCAATCTTAATTAGGAATAAGGGGCCAAGATGAGTTAGGAGGAGAATCCACCAAAGGACAAAGTGGGAATGTTATTGTTGCTACTTTCACTGCCCATGTTTCTCAAAAGAAAGTCAGGAAATTTGTAGAATCAAGGCCTCACCCAGTCACTCTGTTGCCCATCTTTTCATCAAAGCAGCATTGTCTCAAATTTATTGTTTGACTATGGAAAATGTGCATTGCTGCTGTTCTTTCTGCACAGAAATTCATGCCATAGCCTCCAAAAATGTCTCCTGAAAGCAAAGAAGGTTTAGCTGTGCATTTATCAGTGAAGTTGCATTCATGTACTGGTGAGGTTTTAGCACTGACAAATCCAGAATTTCCAGAGGGGATGGACAAAATTCCGTTTATAATTGAAATGTCACCACTGCAGATTACCAGCTCGAGGCAAAGCACAGATTAATCACTGAAGACAAGTGGAGCAGAGTAAAGGGAAAAGCAAGTTTATTCCCCTTTTCCTATTAACTAGTTTCTGACCTGATGGAGAAGCAATACTTCCATGCTTTCCTAGGCCCCTGGCTGTTTAGATAAGTTACAACTAGGATGCCAATTAAAGCTATTTTTTCTTACCCCACTGCCAGTTAACTGCAACTGCACATTTATAGCAATTCATTGCAAAACACAAATTAACTGTATTCCACATTTCTACAGACTGAGATTTTTCACTTTTTATTCTCAATTCCAGTATCAAAACCTGCCTCTGATCTCAGCTGCTCACTGATATGAACTTAGATTTAACCACCCTCTTCAGCTTTGCACAGGGGAACTCCTTGGAAAACAGTGATAGCCTAAATTCCAGGCTTCATTATCACCACATCATCTGAGACATGCCAAGCTAGAGAGCAGATAGACCAGGCCTTTGCTCTAAATTAGGGTGACTGTATTGACAGCAGTCCAGATAACCTGATTTATACCAGCTACATAATTTAATGGGATGTGGAAGGACTCACACCTCCACAGGAAACCCATGAGCAACTACAAAGCTAACAATCCTCCTGCTCCCAGAAGTAGATTTTGGGCACCTAACCAGTTATTTTAAGTAGCAGGCAGCCAAGTGTTTCTAAGCCCCAAGCAGGTATTCCATATTGTATAGGTGGGCCCAGCAGAAGCAATGGGACAGGTAAGAGTCCTTGCAAATAGAGACTTAAGTTACAAACATGCAATAAACCACAGCAGCCTGTGTCAGTACAAGCATTGTTAACTCTGCTGGCACAATTATCCTTTGCCCAATAAGAAATCTTGTGGCTCTTTAATTAGCCTCAGAAACACAAAGCATGGTAAGCTGGGTCAAGATGCAAGCCAACCTTTTTTGCCAAGAAACCTGAGTCACATGCACTGCTGCTAATGAGGAAGGAGATGTTTACAATGTTAAGCTCCAAGTAACACAACAGTAACACATTAACACATCACATTAAAAAAAGAAATAGTCTCAGCCTGAGCACTGGACCTACCTGCTAGAGCAATATCTGAACAATGGCAATGCCCTAAAGGTCATTCCCTTTCTATTTGGCATTGCAAGTCCTCTTATCACAAAATCTCCAGCAATGTTTAACCAAGTACTGAAAATATAAAATACCTCAGTACCATAAAATAAAAGATGAAGTTTCTGTTCTTTTTATTGAGATGGCATTATAATACCAGAAGTGTTTTTGTTTCCCTAAATATGTGCTTATCTGTTGAAGTTATTTTTGCACATGATCTTGTGGTAACCATTATGTTTGTCCATTCCTCCAAAAGTAAGAATAAGAACTGAATGTTTAAATGGATTGAGGTGGCTGGTTCTTTACTGACTGTGCCATGAACACGGGAGTGTGAGCAAGAGCTTTGTTGCTGTGCTGGCTGCCCAGAGTGGCTGTGGAGTTGTGGAATGTCCCTCGCTGGAGACTTTCCAGGACCATCTGAACACAATTCTATGCAATGTGCACTAGGACAACCCTTGAGCAGGGATGTTGGCCCAGATGACCCACTGTGCTCCCTTCCAACCTGACCCACTCTGTGGTTCTATAAAGGCTCAATCAAAGATCCAGTGAAATCCCTGTGAATGAATTCCACAAGAGGAAGCCCAAAGCACAGTTGTTGTATAGAGACCAAACATGTTGATTATTTAAGTATAGTAATTACTCCACAAACTTACTGGCTGAGTTAATTTTTTGACATGTGCATATTCAATATGCCAGGTGTGGTACTGCATTAACCAGTTACTGCCCTTTACAGAGAGCTTATGAGGAATTGGTGCAGGATTCCATACCAAACCACACACAAGCACAAAAACAATGGGTACAAGAAAAGAGTTTAAATGATGGCTCAGTACACAATCTCTACCATCAGTTTCATGGGTATTGGTCAGTTTGCAGGTTTTATTTGATCATGTGCATAAAATCCTCCAATTGCACTTCTATTGAATTCAGCAGAAGATGTTTTGACTTCAGTGGGTACTGAATCAGGCACTGTGGAATTGTATCTGGTTTTACACACTCTAGTTTATATACTCTAGTTTTACAGTTGTAATTTCCTTGACTCAGTTAGGCTATCAGTGATTATGAAGTGCAGTACAAAGTCCTCATGAGATTTCTGCATGGAAATGAAGGATGCTTCTGAATAACAAATTATTTTTAGGATACTTTCCTCCTCTGCACAGACTTCAAGTCCATATTCATTCTCACAATAGTAACACTACTTAACCATCCTCTTTGGAGGACTA